GCCGCCCCGCGCTGCCAGCGCTCCCGGCCACCCCGCACCGGGACCGCGGGCCAGGAGCTGCTGGAACGGCCGCCGGCGGCAGAAAGGAGCCGGAGCCGGCTCTGATCAGCCAGACTGAATGCGGCCCGCCGAGCGTCGAGGGAGCGGAGCCGCCAGGCCCAGTCCCCGGGACTCCGGCCGTCCTAGGGGTCGCCGGCCGTGGCGTTCGTCCCGGGGAGAAGAGCACGGGGCGAGGCTGGCGGGCCTGCGCCTCCTCGGCGGGAAAGTATCAGGGCAATTGCGGGAAAGTTGCCTTGAGGTACACGAGGGACCAGAGATGCCAAAAGGAACTGCGGAGAGTCTGCCTCAAAGAAAAACACTAAAGAAATAGAGCTTTTTCTTCTTCTTTTTTTCTGTCCCCCTCTCCTGTCTCGGGGTGGGGAGCGGAGTGAAATAACCACAGTGGAATAATACATTATGAGCGCAATGGCATGGTTGGCTATGATCGTTCTCTTTTACCAGATTGGAGGTGTGTGGAGACGTATTTCAAGCTCCGGGAGTAATAAGTAAGCTAAGTGGCAGCGATGTACTCATGTAATTTTTTGAAGTATTGATCTGAAATCCGGAAATGCAAAAGGAGCTGTTGAAAAGAAACCCCCTTGGGTACTTCTGAAAAGCAAATTCTAATATATATACGCATACACAGACCCATTGCAGCTCTTCACAACATTGTTTAACAGGCATAAAATCATCTTAAACAGGAAAGGATTTTGTGTCCCTTTCCTCAGACAACACACCAAGACAAACACACATTCACCCCTTTAATAAGAGCTAATGAGTGTTTAGGGCACACCATTTGGTCCCTACACCTTTGGGGATTAGCAGGTCATCGCCAGCAAAGTTGGATTCTGGGTAATTTCCATAGAAATCAGAAAAGAACTTCCCAGAGGGTCTACCCTGGATCTATTTGGAGCAGGAAGGCTGCAAGCCTGCCTTTCCCTAACAACAGACACTTAGCAGAAAATTTTCACCAACTCAGGGTGCAGCAGATCTGGATATAAGTGCTGATTCCGACTCTCATCTGTTGTATCTATTCATCCAGAGCATGTGTTTGTTTCTCTCTAAAATGGTAATAGCCAAACTCAATATTAAAAAGGGAAAAGTACTTGTACAAGTGTCCAGGTGAAAAAAATTCTCTGTTGATAAAGGACGTTCGGTAAAAAAGCTTTGTCCTTGCTTCAGGAAATGGGGTGCTGCTTTTAAAGATAATTATCATCTATAAATTATGAATTCATTGCTAATGCCTAAATATCTAAGCTCAAACAAACTAGGGATTTATACAATTGCACAAGAGTTCTTAACAGCTTTTTCCTCTGATGCCCAAAAGGGGAAAGTAACTTCAAAAAGAAATGTAACTCATTTAATGAGATGATTATTTCATTATAGTGTCAAATGAGTGGATTATTATATTTCAGTTAAGTAAAAATTCAAGCCATCGAGGCTGAAAAATTGGGAAAGATGACAAACTTCGTCATCATTTATCAAACCTTAAATATGGAATAATTACCAGATCATTAACATAGACAAAGATTGTATTTTTTTTTTCTTAATTAAACATCTCTAAGCGAATAGTTGAAGGAGCCCTGGTTGGCACAATGGTTAAGTGCTTGGCTGTTAACCGAGAAGTCGGCAGTTCAAACCCACTAGCGTCTCCTTGGAGCCCTGATGGCGCAGTGGTTAAGAACTACAGCTGCCAATCAAAAAGTCAGCGGTTCGAATCACCAGCCCTTCACTGAAAACCCTATGGGGTAGTTCTACTCTGTCATATCGGGTCACTATGAGTCGGAATCGACTCAGCGGCAACGGGTAGTGTCTCCTCTGGAGAAAAGACCTGGCAATCTGCTCCCATAAAGATTCCTGCCTAGGAAACCCTATGGGACAGTTCTACTCTGTCATAGGGTTGCTATGAGTCGAAACGGATTTGAGGGCACCCAACAGCAACACAAGTGTTTAACTTATAATCAAATGATAGAGTAGTAGAAACAAATCCGATTATATAGATGGACATTTACTCAGTCACAGTGCTTCTAAGTTTCTTTGTGCAAAAAGAGGTGACTTTGTTGCTATTTTCGAGTCATAAATGGGAAAACAATCTCCTAAATACTGTTCTTAGTGTTTAAATTTGTAACACCAGCCAGCCGATTGCCATATGCCTTATCTATGTAAAGTAACTGGGGAAGCCTTAATGTTTACATCTTCACTGTATTTGGGTGTTGTGACCTGATTAACACTGAGGCATAGCTTTGTTCCTACAAACATCATAAAAAAATATTGTTTCTCTCAGTGCATAGTGCTATGTGTTAAACAAAGCCAAAAGATGCAAACATGGGCCAACGTATAAGATACAATGTAATATTGAACAAATGTACTAAACTACTTCCTTTGTGTGCACTCAAACAGTTAAGGATGTTCGATGAGGACAAGAAGTGAGGACTGAGTGAGAGCCAGGTCTTCACAATAATCCTCAAGGTCAAGGTGGCATTCCTGAAGGAACTAGAATTGAAAAGAGAAAGGCTTGGAGAAAACTTGGGAATAATAAATCCCAAGGTATAACCCAAAATCAAACCCACTGCCGTTGAGTCAATTCCAACTTCTAGTGACCCTACAGGACAAAGTTGAACTTCCCCAAAGGGTTTCCAAGGCTGTAATCTTTACGGAAGCCCACTGCCGCATCTTTCTCCCACGGAACAGCTGGTGAGCTTGAACCACCAACCTTCCGGTTAGCAGCCAAGTGCTTAACTGTTGCGCCACCAGGGCTCCTTCAAATCGCAGGGTATAGGTGATATTAAATCAGCAAGAAGTAGGGGATGAGCTCAGGAGTAGAAAAGTGAGGCATGGAGCGGTCGAGGTGGTTGAGGCCAGCCTGGTGAGACCTCCTGCAACAACTTCCCAGGCCTAGAGACGGGCCCATGAGAAGGAGGTGGTGACTGCAGCTTTGGGAGGGGTGGTAGAAATGGAGGCAGGGCTGGTTGCTTGGACAGAGAGGCCTACACGTCTTTCTGTGAAATTCAAGGTCAGGGTGCACTTGTGACCCAGGACTCCTGGTTGGCACAATGGTTAAGTGTTTGGCTGTTAACCGAAAAGTCAGCAGTTCAAACCCACCAGTATCTCCTTGAAGCCCTGGTGGCTCAGTGGTTAAGACCTATGGCTGCTAACCACAAGGTTGGCGGTTCAAATCCACAAGGTTGGTGGTTCAAATCACCAGCCCTCCTTGGAAACTCTGTGGGGCAGTTCTGTTCTGTAGGTCGCTTTGAAGTTCTGTATCTGTGTTTCTGACATGGTAGCCACTTGCCACGTAGAGCTACGGAGTACTCGAAATGTGGCTAGTCTGAACTGAGATGTGCTATGTACACCTGTGCTACGTACACTCATTTTTAAAATACACACTGGGTGTTGAACACTTAATATGAACAAAAGAATGTACAATATCTCAATTATTTTTATATTGATTAAAAAGGGGTCCCTCGGTGGTGCAAAGGGTTAAGTGTTCAACTGCTAATCAAAAGGTTGGCTGTTCAAATCCATCCAGAGGCACCTTGGAAGAAAGGCTTGGTGATCTCCTTTCAAAAGGTCACAGCCTTGAAAACCCTACGGAGCAGATCTACTCTGCACACATGCGGTTGCCATAAGTCAGAATCGACTTGACAGCAGCTAACAACAACGTGTTAAAGTGTTTATATTTTGGATATGTTGGGTTAAATAAGATACCTTATTAAAATTAATTTCACTTGTTTTTACTTTT